CATCTGAACTTGATCAAGAATCCTAGGAGGAGATCTCATGCTCTTATTCCCATGCGATATAGGTTCTATGACCTTTGAAACTTCTCCCTTTGTCTTGTAGAACTCCTTATCTTTCTTTTTAAGATTTTGGTAGGACCCAAACAAGTTGTTCTATACTGACATGATTTGTCGCATTCGTAACACGTAATATCATCATCCTTTTTCTTGTGTTCTTTCTTAGGAAGATGAGTATTTATGAAGTTTATTAAACACATGTCGGTATGCTTGAGAATGTTCTTTTTTAGATATATATTGTAGCGCTTGACAAATAAATCCATATCCTATTTTTTAGGAGTTTCTTCATCAGAATTATCGCTTTATTACTTTGATTTACTAGCTTTAGATGATAAAGCTTTCAAAGCAATATATCGTTTCTCTTCTTTTCCTTTCTCTTTCTTTTTTGACCTTACTTGGCTTTAGGCGAGTCGTTTCAGTTTATTTTCATGCTCGACTAACTTTCTAAATAGCTTTGTAATATCCAAAATACTAAGATCGTTTTATTCTTTGATAGCGATAACCTTTGGTTACCACTCCTTGCATATAGATCTCAATATTTTGTTAGCAAAATCTTTATTGGAATAGGATTTATCCAAGTTGCTTAATTTGTTGATTATGTGGAGGAATCTAGTTTGCATGGAATCCACAAATTCTATGGATTTCACACGAAACAATTCAACTCATTTGTAAACATATTATTTTTAAAATCCCTGAGTCTTTTATTCCCTCTTAGAGAGTTTAGAGAGCGTCCCACATACCTTTAGCACTCATATGATGTGAAATTAAGTATAATACTTTTGCGCTTAAAGCAAATATAAGTACGTTTCTCGCTTTAAAATCATATGAAACCCTTTTGGTTTAATCATCCGTCCAATCCTTTGGATGTTTTACAACACCACCATCACCCTGTGGGAATAAAAGGTCCCTCAGTGATGGCACACATAAATTCTTGTCAAATGATAGTAAGTGTACGTACATAATTGATTTCCAATAAGTATAATTTTCATATTTGAAAACTAGCACTCTATTGTATGCTCCCTTTAGATCGTTATCGTATGCCATATTCTTAAAACATTTGGAGTCGATTACACTTAATCAAAAGACCAGCTCTTGATGCCAATTATTGGGTGAGGATATGGTGTTAGAAAATAGTATAGAGGGGGGGGGGGTGAATAAACTTTTAAAAAAAGAATCAACAAATTCTTCAAATGAAATCGAAGGTTTTTCAAGGTTTGCACGCAAAAGTTTATAGAACGAAAATGTGAATTATACTCACTTGAGAATTATTTGCGTAACAAATCAAATAAATTTACAAATATCACAATGTCTAGATGAAGAACCACAACGTATGCAATTGAATTAATTGAATAAGTCACGGGATGTGGTTAAGAAAATAATCAACAAGCGAATTCTAAAAGTAGGATGTTTCTCATATTTTAATCACCACTAAAGCTCTTATTTGGTCTCTAGTTCCAACAAAACCTAAAATTACCAGATAAATCGCTACGACCAAAAGTAAACCTAAGCATGCATGTTCTGTGGATTTTAAATTCAAAAGTAAGAAATAGAGAGATGACATCGGGATTTATAGTGGTTTGACTATATCGTCCTCGCGTCAGTCTACGCCCACTTTAATAATTTTTCCTTTTATTTTGACATATACAATCACCAATTCACAATAATGCAAAAGAAAAATAACAAATAGAATCTTCAATTTAGATCTTGACTTGTATATGGACAAATATCAAACTTTTATGTGCAATCTTTACTCGATCAACACTTTGAATCTTCCAATATAACCAATTTTTCTCCAAGTATTCGTGTGTAGCAATAAACCCCTTAATCTTACTGATTCCTTGAGAGGTGAATTGTATGAAGATGTAAAAAGAAATTTGTCTTATCTGTAGCCTTCCACACAGTCATCTACTAAGGCAATTTTGGAGAGAAGACCTTCTTCTTTTCACTGGAATATTTTAGCACCAATTACAAAAACCCCAATCACTCATGATTAAGAAATGAAATTGAAACTGAAGTTGATGATAAAAGAAAGTCAAGGCAAGAGTTTCAAAAGAGGTGGTTGAATTTTCAAAGAAGTTCACAAAAATGATTATGAAATTCCATATATGAAAAAGTTAAGACCAAGGATTTTATATGTTCTTGAGCTTAAGCACAAAAAAGACTGAAATTGGTTTGTTAGATTCGAATCAATATCGGTGCATGTAATTGGTCAAGTGAGCAAGTGAATGGAATAAAAAAGTTTCAGATTTTTTTAACCTTTCTACAATTGATTCAAATCAAGTGCAATATGTAATTCGAATCATAGGCCACATGATTCGAATCATGTGAAATATTTGATTCGAATCAATTGCCCCAAGAACTTTGAAAAATGCCAAAAAAATTGTGTGATTCGAATCATGTTCAAAGTGTGATTCGAATCCAATTGGGCAGTAGTGACATGAAATTGTCTGATTCGAATCAAGTGTAAATTCTGATTCGAATAAATGTTTTCTTGACAATCTAATTGATTGGCACACGTTCCTAATATATTAGAGGTTTTAAATATAATTGATTGTAAGTTTAAAAAAAGAAGGAAAATATATCTAGCTGTTGCACATGTTTAAGGTGATGTCCTAATCGCTTGTCACTCAATTTTAAATTGAGCTAATTGATTAGACAAACATGTTAGTCGATTAGATAAGTCAAAATTTTGCTCATAGCTATTTTGACAGCTCCCAATTTATCTAGAACAACTTCAAGATATTTTTGAAAATATTTTTTTTGGTAAAAACAGTTTGAGAATGTATTCTAATGTGTGTGCGCTTTAACCATGTGATTTTACGATAAAGCTCTTATGTTTTACAATTGGTTCACTCACTACTAATTTATGAGAGTCCTTATCCCTTTAAGACTTATCCAGATTCTTTCTCTTTTGTAGACACTTTCTTGAGTAACTTGAGATGAGGCTTTAGTTTCATTCAATTTGATTTCTATCATTGGATAGACAAGTTCATCAAACCCTAATACTTAGGTATACATTTTTACCCGTTTAACCTTTTATGCTTGACTTGTCAGAAGACATTAGTTGTCATCAACAAAAGTTGATATCTTATTTAAAAGTATTTTATATGCTAAATAAGGTTAATCTCAAGAGGTTAACTTGTATTTCGTATCATCTTTGGAGTATCAACTCAAATGTAAGGGAAGTCCGACTTGTCTCTCCCGCGGTGCTAGCAGCAACAGATTGAAACCATTGCAAAAAAATAATGCAGTGGATGTTGTCGTCTCAGCTACGAGAGAGACAAGATGGGAAACAAATGAGAAATAATCCATAAAGTATCTCATCGTTTTATTTAGAAAACCTTGTAGTGTTTATAAAGCTTATTTATGCATTAGTTTTTGAATTGAAAATATATTGTATGAATATGTGCTTAAAAGGTTGGGCCCAAAATGTTTTATTTAAAACTTATGATTAGTTAATTTAAAAAAATATATTGATAATTAATTAATTAATTAATTAATTAATTAATTAAATATTAATAAATCAGTTATCATAGTAAATATTATCAACTCATTAAAAATAAAAATTATGTGATAATCATCGCTGTCACGTGCATCGCTGTCGCGTGTGTAAAATTGAAGGAAGATGAACTTTTGCTTTGTGACTAAAAAAACTGATTTTTAAAATGAGAGGACTAAAATAAAAAATATCAAACCAGGAGGATCAAAAATACATTTAAATCACTTTATATTGTGAATGGTATTCTATGATTTATTATTTTTAATTCTAAATAGAAATAGAGTAAATTTAAATTTAATTTGTTTAAATTTATTATAAATATTTAATAAGATTTAATTCAAAACTAAAATTAATATTTTATAAGATTTAAAATTAAAATTAAATACAATTATTTGATTGTGTATGTAATTAAATATACAATTGTAAATAAAATAGTTTATTTGAAGATAATTTGGATTAAAAAGGCTACAATAAAACTTGGTATTCTTTTTTATATAAAAAAAACTTGGTATTCTTTTTTATATATAGGTATACTTATAAAACATTACTATTACTCATCAGTTTTCAATATTTTATATTTATTGCTATCATTGTAGCCAAAATGAAAATTTTACTCTAATTTTTAAGCATATATACATATTAATTATTTTCACTTTCCTTCTTATAAAACATAAATTTTAGTTAATTTTTGAAAATGATCTAAAATGTTTTTTTTAATAACATTTATATCATGACGATAAATAGATTATATATAATTGAAAAAAGGAAATATTTATTTTAATATAAATTTAATATTTTATTTATAAAAATATAAATAAGATAAAAATGAGCTCTGTATAGTAATATTATTCTTTTCTTGGTAAAAAATGGTGGGTTAATTACAACTTCGATACAGCTAATTAATTAAAAGTTGTGGGTTAGAGGGACCGAATATCTGACATAATTTCTCACAAATATATCTTCAAATCCAGTATTATTTTTTACAAAGAAGATATTAAATTTGGTATACTATTATAAAAGTCTAATTATAAATTAGAAATAGTTCTAATAATCCATTTTTTTAAAATTTTTTGCAAAAGAATTATTCTATTGTTGAATATATTGAATAAAAAATCATTGAATATCATTCTTTATAGGTGAAAATTTTTTGACTGGCATTAGAAGATAATTAATCTATATTAAAATATGTATTAAATACATAAAATATTATCAATTTCTTTTTGAATTTTCTTAATACATAAGAGTCTGAGATTGATAAAATAATATTAAAGTAATTAACTTTTTTACATTATTTAACAATAAATAAATAAACAATGACAGAATCTGAAAATAATGAATTGTTTAAAAATAAAAGTTTTATAAAAGAATTGGCATGATGGGCCTCCTCCACTATAAATTAATCTTCCCATAAACCCAATCATTTCAATTTTCATATTCTAAATACACAATGGAGATGAAGATTTTTTTTGTTGTTGTCTTCTTAGCTGCCATAAGCACTGTTCTTGCACATGATCACCACCACCATGACGAGGCCCCAGCCCCCGCCCCAGCCTGGGGCTCAGCCCCAGCTCCAGGACCAAGCAGTGGTGCTGGTTCTCTTGGTTCAGTCCTTGGTGCCTCTCTTTTATCCTTTGTTGCCTACTACTTGAACTTCCATGCATGAGACACATAGGTGTATGTGATTTGAAATAGATAAGGAAGTAGTGACGTTGTTCGATTCTAATTAATAAGAGGAGTTTGTGTATTTTTCATCGTGTGTTGTAGCCATTATAATTGTATTGCTCAGAAATAACTTCAATTTTATATTCATATTTTTCATAGATAAATTTTGAAAATAAATATTAAACACATCCATATATGAAATATACAGATAAATTATACTATCAATGTTTTTTTATATACATATATAAAAGGGTCGTTTGTTACGTGGAGTCAAAATTTATTATTCTAAAGAATTATTTACTCATGAAAATCATTACAAGGAAAAAGCCTTTTAGTTAGGGGTTTAACTCCTCATTAAGGCAAAAAACACCTCACAAAATCAATATTTACGAGGGGACATAACCCCTAGCTAAATCATTGATCGCAGATAAGGGGCGAGGGGCTAAGCACCTAGCCAATTAACTTGGGGTTAAACCCCTCGCTAAAGGCAAAATAAGCGTGCATATTATATGTAATATTAGCTAGGGAGTTTACCCCAAGCTAAAAACCATAATTTATTTTTTAAATTATAAATGTAATTATTTTATTCATTTATTATTATTATATTTATAATCAATTAATTTCATAATTATAATTAAATAAAATAAAAAAATTCAATATTAATAATATTAATAATATATTTTTAAATATAATACATAATATAACTTATAATTAATATTATATTAATAAAATACTGAATCAAAATTAAAATATTACAAGAACATTGTTTATAATAAATAAAAAGTATTATCGATAAAAATTAATTTTCTTCATCGGTGTTACTGTCTTCATTGTCATTTTGCCTTTGATTATCACGCCCGCCAAATTATTGCATAAACTGTTGAAAAGTACGCATAGATTCCTCATATTCTCTAGTTTTTCTTCTCATTTCTTCCTCCATTTCTCTTTGTCTCTTCTTCAATTCTTCTATTTCAGCACTTCTCGCTTCCACTTCACGGGCAGCCTCAGAGTGCGCTAATGATCTCACAGTTTCCATCATGTCCGGGGTAAGTAAAGGTTGAGTCGATGATCCTTCACCATCAGCAATTTGCATTCTGAAACTCCTATCACGCCGCCGGATTGTTTTGGCGAGACCTCCAGCACCATACACTCTCCCATTTTTTCTCTTCCCACGAGATACATCATACCAAGTCTGAAAACTCAGACTAGGATCAGTGGGAAATCCCGACGGAGGTGGTGTATATTCAGGATGCTGTGATAATCTTAGGGCAAGCTGTTTTTCATACTCCTCCTATTAAAAAGAGTAGGTGTTATTGCAATTTAAATTATGCTAGACACAAAAGAAATAAATAAAATGGCTAAGTTTAAGGAAAGCTTACTTCAGTTTTTCTTGAGCGCTCATCAACAAACTCCCCATTTTTCTTGAGATGAGTCTCCTTATGGAGCTCATTAAGAAGCGGAGTTCTGCCCAACTCATCACGCTAAGTAGATGACATAAAAAAATAGTTATAACATAATCTAAAATTGTTGAGTTAATTTCAAAATAATTAAATTTACCATTCTCCGCGCAACATCAGCAATACTAATACTACTATAGGCGTAGTTGCAGCCGCTAACTTCAGAGGCTCCATTTTTCTTGGCCCTTTCAAATGTACTCTTAAAGGAATCAGAATTCCAATGGGCAATAAGCTACTCAAATACATATGGACTTATCCAACGGGGACGCAAGCGTTTATTTTCCCAAGTAATTCTAACACGCCTCATCGTGTCAGAAAATCGTTGAGCACATTTAATGTTAAAATTATCTCTTATTTAGATATCATCTCTAGGGTCCCAACAACATTTCTCCTTCAAAAAATATGAAATAAAATTATAATCGTGATTGAGTGAATTACTTTAATAAAGGTAAAAAAGATTAAACAAAGTTGATTATACCTGAAATAACCTAAACCAAGCATCCCTCTCATCGCCATCAACTACACCATACGTAGGCCAAAATTTGTTATACTTTTCTTTAATGATCTCAGTTATGCAAGCTGCTGCCTGATGTGATGGGTAAAATCTAAACAACCAAAATATGAGTTAGTATTAATTATAAACGAACAACTAAAATTTATAATTTAAACATAAACACTTACGATGATCCCTCTGGCTGAATGACAAATCGTCAATTCCTCTTCCTAATCACTTGTGGCACATTTTTCAAAATGCGTATATTCCTATGCTCTTGATCAGCCTCGTCCTGAACAACCTGCTCTACATGGTCATCATCACCCTGTTCTTCATGTGGAGAATGCATGAGTGATGAATGTGACACGCTAGATCCAACCAAAATAGATAAGAAAGTAGTTAAGTTGTTGGTAATTAATAAGAGGAGTTTGTGTATTTTTCATCGTGTGGTGTAGCCATTATAAATTGTATTGCTGGGAAATAACTTCAATTTTAAATTTTTGTTTTGCGTTTATTTATTTTTAATTCGCATCAATGTCAAGCATTACATGAAATGGTATAGTTGTGTCTTCTACGTTGAAAACACTGAAATTTTGTTTGAGAGTTTAGAGGATAGGAAAGGGAAGTCTTAAAATAAATGTAATGGAAAGAATTGAAGGAAATGTTTCTGGAGTTTATTTTTTCTATTTAATATAAAAAAAAATTAATTTTGTGGAACTTAAAAATTGTAATCGATTAAAATTCTGAGATTTTGGATGATTTCTCCAAGTTCAATCTATATTGTTTGTAGCATTATATTATATATCATTTAATTAGAAAATACATAATTATTTTTTACAAAAATTACATTTTTAAAAAATTATTGAATAATTGTCTTATTTTTAATATTTTAAAAAATGTTAATTTTATAAAAATAAAAAAATTAAAAGTGTGTTTGAATTTTACTCCTTTTAATTTTTGTTATAAGCATCATTTGAAAAATAAAATATATTCTTAAATAAATAAGTATATATATAAAATCAGATAAATGCACATTTATATTCATATTTTTCATAGATAAATTTTGAAAATAAATATTAAACACATCCATATATGAAATATACAGATAAATTATACTATCAATTTTTTTTTATATACACATATATAAAAGGGACGTTTGTTACGTGGAGTCAAAATTTATTATTCTAAAGAATTATTTCCTCATGAAAATAAAGGTAATAAATTTATTTCAAAATTTTTTTTAAATAAAAATTATTTGATAAATATTTTGATATTTTTAAACAAAAATTTTAATTTTAATTAATTTAAAAAAATTTATAAATTTCACTGACATATAATTCTCATCTTTTTACTTGAGAATGATTTCATGAAATTGTGAAAGGTTATGAGAATTTATTTATTTTAATCTTTATATCCAAAAATAATTATTTTCAATCTTATAACTAACATGAATATATTTATTTTTTATTTTTATTCATGTATTTTCAAAAAAATTATTTCTGAAACAAACACCCTTAAAGTTTATTATTTTAGATGCTAAAGCAATTACCTAATCTGTGTTTTTATTGGATGAGCGTTAAATATCAAACAATGTGTATATTTTATTGATAAAATATCTATTTTGGTCTCTTAACTATAAGTCATAGTTCAGTTTGGTCTCTTAACTTTTTTTTGGTGTCAAATTGGTTCTTTAATTTTCAAAACGTAACAAACAAGTCCCTTCCGTGAATTGGGCTCAAATGTCCGTTAATTTTACCTACGTGGCAGGTGGACTGACATGTTATCTTCATCTTCTTTATATGCATTATTCACCACCGTTTCCATCATCGTTTTCATCAGCTGTGATGTTCACCATCACCAGCTGCATTTTCATCTTCGTCGTCGTTGTTCACCATCACCAGCTGTGTTTTCATCTCCGTCTTCGTCTTGTTCAAGTCGTTTCCTTTCTATCCCCATGAATACCAACCATTCTTCTTCGCATATGAAGCTGAAAATCTCTGAAATTGGTGAGTCATGTGTATACAGTAACTTGCGAGTTGTACCATTTTGCCTTTGTGGAGATAAAGTTGTTCTTCGTAGGGCAACGATTGAGAAGAATTTTGGAAAGAAATTTTGGGGTTGTCACAATTACAAGGTAAGCCCTAATTTCTGTTTGAGTATTGTTAAAAATTGGTAACAGGTTTTGATTCATTTTTGAAATTTATAGGGAACCTTGCAAAGAGGATGTGGTTTTTTCAATTGGTTACATGAGGAATTGGCAAAATACATAATCCAAGTGTTGATGAATAGGTTGAAAAACATAGCAAAGGATTTAGATGAAACTAAAAAGCAGTATGAAAAATCCAGGGTTAGAAATGAAGAATTAGGGGATGCTATGATGAAAATTCAAATTCAACTGAACAAGATGTTGAAGTGGAAAAAATCATTGAGGTTATGTGTTTTGTAATGTTATGTGTATGTTTCATTAAGTTGTTTTAGGAGTACGTATCAAGTGTAATGTGTAATGTACTGTGTATTTGTAACACAATTTATCAGTTTAATATGATTTCTATTGTTTGACATATCATTGTCTGTAGCAACATAATTTTGGGCATTATTAGTAAATGACAATTGCAACATATCATATTATTTGAACATTATCACAAAATGACATTAATTGATATTGTTGAAAGACATATACATGTTCCAAAATGCATAGACATGTTCCAAAATGTTGACATAATAACATGTTACATAAACATGTTCCAAAATACATAGATATGTTCCAAAATGATGACTAGATGTTACATAATACCATAAACTACATAAAGCCTAAATATGACTAGATGGTTCTCTTTGGTGTGTTTCTCTTTATTAGAGTAGACCTCCTGGTGGTAGGACCAATCACATTCTTGGATGCTGAGAGTCTCGTTGTTGGTCTTGGGGGTACAAAGAGCCTTCTCACACCAAGTTTCTGTTACTTTCCAGTTCCTCTTGCTTTCTCTTCTGTACCTTGCCTTGATATTGTCTTTTTTTTTGTGAAGACTGAGTTGCATTCATGTATCTCTGTGT